TTAGTCTTCCAAAGGTAATTTTTGAAAAGCATACATTCTTATAACACATGAGGAGTTTCAAAAGCTTTTTTATGAGTGTTGACAAGCTTCTGCTATTTGGTATTACAGCTATTTTTTTCCCCTCAATAATCCAAGTAGTAAAATGCTCATTTGTGGTAGTTAGGATTTTTCTACCCAGTCTTTGAACTTGTAAATATATTTATTTTACATCAATAGATTTCCTTGGCTAAAGGTATTTTCAATGCTTGTTATGTTTCATCTGCCAAATTCACAATCCTTGAAACTAGTTCAGGAAATGTATTTCATAATATTGGTAACACTTTTTTTGCTCCTATCCAAATTCTGCAGGATTTGATTTTAATTAATGTCCTGCAATAGGTAGGTTTTTAAAGTTGTGAACTTTTAGAGATATTTTCTAAAGTGAAACCGTTACCATTTTATATGTCAAGTGGCCTGGAGTGTTTTTTAGAGACACTGACAGTTGCTGTGGTTTGTAATCTAACTTCCCAGAATCTGCAAATAAAAGTTCTTTCCCTGTCCCTGTTCATTTCTATTAGGCAGACTCCCTGCATCTTTGTGTGTTTCTGATATTATTAAAGAGCCAACCTGGTGCCCTTTCAAATATGCACTTACAGACTGAGCTACACAACACTGTGGTTCCTGCAGAACTCTTGTGATTGAGGCTGTCCCTGTAAGCCTCAGATTTGGAGCCCTTAAAGTGAGAATGGTATCTCATGGGCAAAGTAATATCTTACACGTACTTAGAGCCAGCTGAGAAGTCTTTTTAATAGTTTTTGTAATCCTCACCCAAGGATATGTTTTGATTTTAGAGAGAGGGAGAAAGAGACATCAATTGGTTACCTCCCATAGGGGCCCAAGGGGGATTTGAACCCACAACCTAGATATGTGCCCTGACTGGGAATCGAACCCGCAACTTTTTGGTGTAGGAGTGACACTCCAACCAACAGCCACCTAGCCAGGGCTGTAATAATTTGAAATATTCTGAGATCCTTCTATTTACTTAGAATAAAATACCAAAACAGGCTTTTAAGTCACATCCCAGTTGATCCAGTTGGGACCAAATTCAGCTGAAGAAATAGGCTGTTTTTTTTTAAATTATAAAGTCCTGTTCCTGAAATTGAATTGGTGTATTAAGGGTCAGTTTTTAGGTAAACAAAGGTAAAAAGCTAGTACTAAAAAGTATCTGTTACCAAAAGAAAAACAAGTCTTTTTTTCTCCTTCAACTCACTGCCTCCTGTGCCCATCCCCAGGCCCACCACTGCTCTAACTCCTTTGAGCCTCATTACTGTCATTGCAAACCTTAAATGATGGCCTTAATTTTAAGAGGAAGTTCCCAAGAATCTGGCCTGCTTGTGTTTGCCGCAGTGTACATACTAACTGCATGGCCTTCTAGCATCACGCAGATCAGTGCGGGGACATTTTGTGTTTCCAAAACTCAAAGTAGTACTATCAAATCAGGCTAAGCAAACCCTAACCTTCAGACTCTCTAAAAGTGGTATTTTTTTTCTCTTTTAAACCAGATCATAATTATAACTTTATGCTCTAACATCTGACCATCCAACCAATCATTTCCCTATCTGACCATTGTTTTTCCCCACTTAGCCTTGACATTTAAAAATTCGGTTTTGGTTTTTGCGACTGCTGCTACTTACGTCTGGGTTCATTTTTATCCTATAACCCAGAAGCTCCTCATTCACTGCATACTCTACTGCTAATAGGTCATGCCAGAACGCAGTTGATTCTCGAGCCTTTCTAGCATGATTTTTTAAAAATATTTTATTGATTTTTTTACAGAGAGGAAGGGAGAAGGATAGTTAGAAACATCAATCAGCTGCCTCCTGCACACCTCCCACTAGGGATGTGCCTGCAACCAAGGTACATGCCCTTGACCGGAATCGAACCTGGGACCTTTCAGTCCACAGGCCAACACTCTATCCACTGAGCCAAACCGGTTAGGGCTCTAGTATGATTTTTAAGATGTTTGAGCAAGACTCACTTTTGGAAAAATTCTCAATTTTTTTTTCAGTAATGCTTTAACCACAATAACGGAACCTCTCAGCCTTTATTTTACCTCTCTGCCCATGCTTGGGACAAATACAGTAGCCGTATCTCCCATCACACTCAGATGTTATATCTCAGGCTGTTGCTACTTGCTCCCCTCAAGTGTCTCTAAGTGTCCTGTCCTGGTGTCCTGCAGTGCCGTCTCGCCACAGCCTGTGTGCCACTACAGCCAGACGCTTCTTGAGCTCACTGAGTGCATGTCCTTTCACACCAAATAGGCTGTCTTCTCTCTAGTGCAGTTCCTTTTTATCTTTCTTTAGGCAGTAATCTTACCATGGGTTACCAGTGTCTAGTCAGTGTTTCAAATGAACTGAAATACAGCATTTCAAATGAACTGAAGTACAGCTTGGTCTTCTGGGGGGGGGAGGGAGAATTGTTAATATTTTTGTGGTTTCAAGTAAAAATCAGTATTAAAACTCGGCTAATGGTTAAACATTTTTTAACCCAACTGGAAAACGTTTAAAATTCACGTGCTTGCGAGCTGTCATTGAATATTCGTTCCAGGGTTTGTGGAGTAAGTTTGAGAAATGCTTCCTCCCTAATTTGGGGGGCTCAGTGAGGTGGAAAAAAAAAGTGCATCCAAAGATCTGATTTCAAGACAAGGTTTACTGCTTGACAAACACAAACATGATACTTGGTCTTAATGGAAAAATGACATCAGATACACCCTGAATATGTTTAGCATTGGGATAGCTGGCAGTTCCGCACAAAAGATAGGTTTTTAGGAGCAGGGAGGCATGAAAATAAACTATCTTACACTTTGGTAAATCAGAAACACTTGTTTGAGCAATATTTTGCTTGAATTAAGCCCTTTAATATTCTTTAAGTGTAAAACTTCATAACATGTCTTGGGCTCTGACCCATCTGTTTGATCTATATGACATCATACATGTCTTTGACTAGTGCACTTACTGTTATGTACAGAACTTAAAATGTGATGCTGTCGGTATAACATTTGGTTTGATACGTAATATAATCTATTCAAAGTTGTATATAAAATCAAGGAAATGTTTTTTGTGAACTATTTCTACTGAGAATGTATTTAAATTAAAATAATTAAAAATAAACAGCATGAAGCAGTGATCTGTTAATGGGACAGGTCAGTAGCTATGTGCATCACTGGCACTAAGAATAACTTTGCCACCGAGCTCAGAAGCATACATTTAGGAAGCATCTTGTAAATAAGGTGACAACTTCACGATTAGAGTTGGAACTATGCAACTAGTTCATATAAAGGAGCCATGTGCCCTATTATAAAGGAAGGTCCCATTCCATGAACATAGACCTTTCCTGTGTTGATCAATTCCAAGTCTCTTATGATCCAGAAATGCTGGGATGGTAAATTCAAGTGCATTGGGTGTGAACTGCACCTTGAACCTGCACATCCCTTTTTCGGTTAAACCTTTTCACGTAGCTGCTGCTGCTCCGGAGCAGTCCATCTCCTGGTCGGAGGCGCCCTCTTAGGACCTGGAGCAGAGCTGTAGGGAGCTGCCGTCTCTTATGGTAGATGTGGCCCATCACAATATACCTGCTGCCTGGGGGGGAAAAAAGGTATAAATTCATAGTGTCTTTTAAATGCCATGAAACAATAAGAAAATGTAAGATCTTTAAGAAACGACTAAGCTTGAATCTATTATCTTGCTCTATTTATTTTGAACCTCAGACAACTGGTGGAAACAGTGCAATAATGACCTTTAGAAGATAACCAGATAATGCACCTGTAAACACTCAACATTAGAGAACGAGGGTCCTAATCACAATGTGCCAACAGGATTTTGCCAGAGCACATCTCTAGAGAGACGGGAGAGAGGGTATCGGCATCCCAACCCTCAAGGATTTTTCTAAACGCCGTTTAAACAGAGTCCCTTATGGACCCCTTCTGGCAAGGGTGTTTCCAATCATACACTCAATTGGTCAACGAATATTTACTGAGTGCCTGCTTTGTGCCAATCCGTGCTGTTCCCCCCTTTAAGCGGAGGGGGGGGGGGGTTGTTGGCGCTTAACAGTGGACAAAAACAATACCTGTCGTCCAAATTCTATTCGTCTTGGAACACCCCTCCCCCCCACCCCCCAAAGGTGTTGGGGCGACCGAGCTGTGGCACCCACGTTACAAATGGTGATGTAAATAAAGGACATAAAAAGTGGTCAGATGAGCTTCAATACCAGGCTTCAACTCTGGACATGTCTTATTGCAGCTGGAGGAGTCTAGGGCTAAGATGTGGACTCGGAAGAAAAAGCCGTCCGGAGTGAGGTACAGGCGGTTCATCTTGTACAGCCCGTCCCGGTCCACCAGCAGAGTCACCAGCTGGACCCCTGGGCCGACCACGTCCACATCATGCACGATTCCGTTCACTGCTGCTTCAAAAAACAAAGAGTTTGGACACAGGCATAACGCTCGCTTTCCCCTTCTTTCCCCAGTCACTGCGTTTATAACAAAGCAAGACAGTGCACACGGGTCTGGGGCCTGCAGGACCGAGTCGGTGGGTTTCTCTAGGGCTCTGTGGGGTGTCCGCGCGCATCGCCGAGCGCTCTCGGCTCGGAAGG